TCTACATATTGAATATTGTCTTAATTTGTTCTCTTATGGCAGAAATAGAACTCTTTGCTATATAGTGGAGGAAGGATCTGGACACTGATCAATGAAATTTTAGAAAGCACGAGTTGTTTAGTAGAACCCTGACATTTTACTTAGAAATACCTCTTTACAACATAAAGAGAACAGCAAGAGGAAAGAGGAACTGGAAATAAGAAGACAACTCCTGTTTCACTACAAAGATCCCTTACCTCTACTAAAAATGTTATTCTTCTGTACTATATACTAATAGTAATTAATCTCAGCCCTAATGGCACATTTCCTCAGAAAAGCAGTTTCCACATCTCACTTACTGAAGCCATGAAACTATACACAATGGCTCTTAGCTGAGACACCTTCCATCTTTTGAAATGAGTTAATATGAAAACATTTGTAGGAAGAGAACAGTGGCCTAAACCACATAGTGTTTGGTTTCTATACAGCTTCAGAGGATTGCCATCCCTCTGGTTCTCTCTTCTGCAGACAGTAAAGGCCATCTGAGTGTTGTTGCCACCAGCCAAACTGTTCTGTTAGTGCAAGAACAGCACTTTCCACTGATGGCCTCCCCAAGCTTAAAGTGCAGTATATTACATGAGATTTTAACATTCCAAACTACCCTTTATTTTAATTTCAGAAGGAATGTTCAAGTTAGAAAGTTACCTTTTAGGTTTTAAGCAAGAAAATCCAAGGCAAACTGTCTTAGAATGGATTAAATCCACTCCCTTAAGACATACTCTTTAAATCTTATGTTCAATATACATATAATACACACAATATATATATAAATTTCCCTTAGCTCTATTGCATAAGTATTTGAAGTGATCCTATAATAAGTGATTAAAGGCCTGATTTTGCTTAAAACAGGATTGCTTTAGCTAGACTGTGATCATTCCAAGATCATTCCTGCATAGGCTTATCATCAATAAAAAGACAGCCCTTGGCACCCCACTGTTCTCAATTTTAAATTCTAATTTACTGGTGGTTTCTCTGATGTTTTATTCCCTTCCACACCCTTTTTTTCTTGTATATAATTATTATTCTCTAAATATGTGGTTCCCAAATGATGTCCAGCAGAGTAGAGGCTCTTCCAGGCCAAACAACAGACAAGAAGCTCTCAAGTAACAATTGCAAGTAAAACCTGCCAACCAATTCTTTCTATAGGAAGTTCAAGTATCCAGTTTTGGATTCAAGATTGTGTTTATGTGCAGCTTTAAAAACAAAAAGCTCACCCCACAGGAAAAGAGTATTTCTTTACCTATGTAGCTACTATAGAGATTAAAATACAGTTGTACAATATTTTCTTTAGCAATCAAGCCAGCTTAAACAGGCTCCAACTCCTCCCTGTCTTCATTCCTTTACTCTCAGTTCTGCCAAGTGGTATTTTTGAGTCAAGCTGGATGCAGACAACAGCTTAACACTGTAACTCAAATCTTTGTTTCTGATGCTTTGGTGTTTCAGATCCATGTGGCTTCAGCAACCTTGATCCACAAACACTCGTGTTAATAAAAAAAACACTGCAAGGGTGCTGAATTGCAGCAGTGGAGATGGGATTGAATAGTGTGAAGGAAAGTAATCCGTTATTACTTTTAGACTTTTGGTAATTTTATGACAGGTAATCATGTGGTAATTAATAAAAGTACACACCAGGAAAGTTATTTTCTAAATCAAATGGGTTTTTATCTCTTCTAACATACAGAAGAAATAGCCAACCAATGGGGATAATAAAAACCACATCATTTAACATTAAAAGTAGTGTATCTTATTTTCAGCGCTCAAAAAATTCCAACATTTCTCCCCTTAACACTGATAATTGACATTTCATCTTCATAATCAAAGACTTCTCTGCACAAGTGTGCTAACACCCAAATAAACACATTAGAAACTCTACTGGTTTTCTAAGTGAATTCAGGTCAAACTAAATGCAACATCACTCACTCTGTTTCCAAAATGAAGTAAGCTAGCTATGAAGAAAGGATGCTTGGTGTGTGAGTCGCTGGCATGACTTTACTCTGCATTAAATCCTCATTTTTAACTCAGAAAAGTGAGCTGACAACACATCCTAACTCATCATATCAATACCTCCCTCTTTAGGTAAGCCCACAGAACATGTGAAGCCCACCTACACCAACTCTGTCACTGAGAATTTTAGACACAAGAGTTCAAACTTTGACCTACTGCACAATGAGTTTCTCCATCTAAGTGCCCATGGGAGCATATTCCTGCAAATTCACAAGCAGCTCTATTGATTCCAACATGCTTGCTCCATTCTTTGCCAAATCCTGTTGTCAGAAGCCTGTCCCAAAGCCAAAGTCAACAGGCCCAGAAACTATTACTGTGCTTCACTGATAACAATCACTTTTTCTAGGAAAGAAAATATTATTTTAGAAAATTTTTTATAGTGTCTGTTGTTGCACAATGGAGCTCACACAATATTGTTTAAATTAGAGTAGCACCACCCTTGAAAATGAACAGTGCTGAGAATTATTCTGTATTGAAGACCACCCTCCCAACACCTTTCCAGTTCAAAGTGTTTTAAGCCTGAAAACATTAATTACTGTTGGATCCAGGGCAGGAATTCAATTCCACAAGAAACAGTTTGATTGGAAATGATTGTAAATAGTAGCCAGAACACTCAGCTAAGACAAACCCTACAGAAAACAAGGGATCTGTGCTAAATAATCAAACTGGGTTCTAGTCTAGTGTTAATGGCAGACCTGCAGAAGTCCCAGAGAGCTTTGAAATTAAGCAGTTCTTTCCACTCAGATGTACATATTACTTAAAAAAAAAAAAAGTCCCTATTATTCCAACAGCCAGTTTTGGTAGCAATTACAAAGTATAATTTTTACTTCAGTTGTCTCCTTCTCATTAAAACCTGTACTGTAACCTTCTCTCTGCTATGTAATCAATTAAGTTTCTACTAATGTTAAAACCAGCAATCATTAAAACCTTAGTACTCTTTTCCCTTCACTGCTGCATACCAGAGGCCTGCTAGTGCAAAAGCCAGCACAGAAATTGCCAGCTGTATCATGTGAACATTATTAGTCACATATTCTATATTTGAAAACATTTTCTTGTATCCAAGTGTTTGCTCTGAAGATACAAGGTTTAAGTAACAAAGAGAAAACCATGGTTTCTGGTTGTTTAAGAGTCCTACACCGCACTCATACAGTGAGAGAACTGGAATAAAATGGAGATCAGGAAGTTCACCAGGCTCCAGTTCTTCAAGAGATGCAGGCTGCGATTCATTTTCTTTGCTGATGCTCATTTCCAATTCCAGAAACTGCAGGTTTTGTTTATACCAGAAATTTCCCAGCCACAAGTGTGCAAAGCATACAAAGTTGTCTCCTGGGCAGCATGAGCTAAAGTCTCCAGCAAACCTACAAGCTTCCTCCAGCCAGCCCATTACTGAAGTGCTATTAATGCAGTAAGAAACCCTATGAAGACAGTCTTTCCCAGAAGAAGAATACAGATGAAATGAATCCTTCCAAGGAGTAGCTGCACTTGAGTTTCCCTCTGCTGATTCACTCAAACTTGGAGGCATTTCCTTGCCAAGAGAATGCAGAGGTATAATAGTAAAGAGAGAGCAACTCTTGGTGCTAAAATAAAGTAATTCTTTTTGTAAACTGCTACTATGATTTTGAGAATTGTTTAACGTGGAATGTATGTGTGTCAGGTGAGCTGCTGCCTTGTGATGACCTGGGCCACTGTCACACACACTGTTCTGGTTTAAATCTTCTTTCTTCATAGTTCTAGAGAAGACAAGCATAGCTTTGCTGTTTCATAACAGGTTTAATTTGAAGAAGAATACAATTGACTCTAGTTGCAGCACACAACACAAGCACCACGTCACAAATCAGTGGATCTCAATGTGGACCTAAAGAGAAGAATACAGGAAGTTATTATGCTGATATCCCAGTTTCTTGGTGCCCAGTATATAGAGGCAAAACCAATAAAATCTTTAACATAAAGAAAAAGGAAAACCCAACTGCAGAAAGTAACAGTAGTCCAGACAGGCAAGCCTCCCTGCAGGGTGCTTGAGCACATCCACAGGGGTAGGCAGTACACCCAAATATAAACTTTCTTCTCTAGTTTCAGTGTAATCTGCTACAAACTCTCTTTTGGTAACCAGCATCAAAGTGAGCCTGCAAACGAGCAGCTGGAGAGATTTGCTGTGTAACAGGACAACTTTCCTTAGCCAACAGAAACGTAGACTGGAACTGATTAGAGGCTTAACTTTAAAGGTAAATATTCAAGTAATCTTCCTGTAAACAGAAGTGCACACTGAAATCAGACACACAGCACTGGAAATCTCCTATGCACAGCTTCCCAAAGGGAACTGGTCAGACTGGCTGCACCAATTAGAGGGTATTGGTTATATTATAGTCAAATGACAAGCTGATGTTGTTACAGAGAACTATTACATACCACCACAGATAACAAGCAAAGGCAGGACATTCTTAGCCACCGAGGTTACTAAGCTTTGTGTACAGTTCCTGGCACTGTGGTTCGATTTCAGGGTTCAGAACTGTAGGGCAAGGCCCAAAAATAAAAATGAGATGCCACATTTTGACCTCTTCCCATTTTAACCTACAAGTCACAGACTGCAACCAGACTTGCCTTTCAGCACTTGGCCACTAGCTGGACATGCCATGTTTATGGGGAGAAAGCCGTGTTTATTACAGCTACGTTTATGGGGAGAAAGACAGTGTCCAATCTTTGGCCAGTGCTGATGTTTGTGACAGCCCACAGCCTGCTTCTGTTGCCAGATAAGCTAAAAGTAAAGCTTTGATTTCATCACAAAACCAAATAAACGTCAAGCCTGCAAGGAGTAAGAGCTCCCAACATCTTTAGGTCAGAGCTGTTTCAGGGAGTCCCACCTTTTGAGCTCAAGGCAGGAGAGGCACAAATTAAATTTGAACTGCCATGGTCATGCACTGACACTGTTATTTGAAACTGCCTCTTTTGTCCCCCCGCAGTTGTTCTTGGCCGAACAGAAAGCAACAAACTGACGGAGGAAATGACCCCGTTAGCTCCTTAGCGGTGTCAGGAGTCACTACCGACACGCACCTATTTACCCGCGGAGCCCGGGACGGCGCGGTGACACGGGCTGGGGCTGCGGACGCGGCGTTTGCTGCCCGCGCCAGAGCCAGCGGGCACCGGGGTGCGGGTACCGAGGCGCGGGTAACCGACGTGCGGGGACCCGACCGGCGGGCACCGAGGCGCGGGG